GTTATCGTGGTTTCTATTCTGGTGTTGTGCTGAGAATGTTAGAATGTTTTGTTTACGGCGCAGTCAGCAATATTCCATCTTCATCACAATGGTTTGTAAATAATAGAGTTTTGGCGACAAAATGGGGTACGATCACACACTATTAGTCTGTTTACACATTACAAATATCCGATCTCCCTTAGCCGCTGTAAACAAGCATGTGGCACTAGGGGTGTATTGTGTCCCGGAATCCCATCGTGAGGCACTTACGACAAGCATGTGGCACTAGGGGTGTATTGTGCCCCGGAATCCCATCGTGAAGCACTTACGACAAGTATGTGGCACTAAGGGTGTACTGTGCCCCGGAATCCCATCGTGAAGCACTTACGACAAGCATGTGGCACTAGGGGTGTATTGTGCCCCGGAATCCCATCGTGAGGCACTTACGACAAGCATGTGGCACTAGGGGTGTATTGTGCCCCGGAATCCCATCGTGAGGCACTTACGACAAGCATGTGGCACTAAGGGTGTATTGTGTCCCGGAATCCCATCGTGAGGCACTTACGACAAGCATGTGGCACTAAGGGTGTATTGTGTCCCGGAATCCCATCGTGAAGCACCTACGACAAGCATGTGACACTAGGGGTGTATTGTGCCCCGGAATCCCATCGTGAAGCACTTACGACAAGCATGTGACACGAGGGGTGTATTGTGCCCCGGAATCCCATCGTGAAGCACTTACGACAAGCATGTGACACTAGGGGTGTATTGTGCCCCGGAATCCCATCGTGAGGCACTTACGACAAGCATGTGGCACAACGGGCATATTGTGCCCCGAAATCACATGGCGCGGCATGGATGCAAACCAGTGACTTACATCAAGAGCAACATACTACTTTATCAAGCACAATAATACGCTTTCTAGCAGCCTGACCACCTAATCCACATTTCAGTCCCCCAGTACGACGAAACAAACTCAGCAAAGGTCAGTTTAACTGAGATTACATGGTACAGAATGTTTCGTCCTTACATTGGTATATATATATATATATATACTGCCGGGTAGAGGACAGTATACACCGTTGTTTGATGGAAGCTAAAATGAATCATTCAAGTGATGGTTATACGATGGTGGTGTATTTGAGATGGGTATCACAGTTGAACTTGGACCTAAAGTTTTCAGTGTTTCAGCCCAGTAACGTTTTGATGAAGTCTGTTCGGGTTAGTTTCTTTTCATTTTTTTACAAACTATTCACTACCTGTATAACCTGTCTCGCTGACCCCCAGAGCAAGTACATCCCCTGGGTCAGTCTGGTGTAGTAGTTGGTGAATACGCTGAATGTCATCCGTTCTGATGGCCGATCCATCAGAGATAGCGACGGAGTGAACATTGTCCCCAAACGGCTGTTTCTTCGGGAGCAGGAAACTCTGATCAGTCTCCGTGTCTGGCCTGTGCTTCACATGTTCGTCCTGGTCACCGAGACAATTACTTTAACGTTCAGCCTGCCTTAGTAGGCAGCATGGAAAAGGTAGATTAATGCTGATAGGGACCGGCTTGGACTGTCAGGTGTGACGAATTGTTTTGGTTATTTTTCGGTTTGTTTAGCTGCAATGTGCTTCGATGCGTCTTGTAATTGTTGGTTTCCGTTCCACACATATATTATCAAAAGTGCAATTAGAAGAGGTTCTTGCATCCTTATGATTTTAATATATTGTCCCTTCATACTTCTCCCTATTCACATTGCATACTAGTAAATGCAATATATTGTCCCTTAAAGCTCTCCCTATCCTCATTGCATTCTAGTAAATGCAAAATAGTGTCCCTTAAAGCTCTCCCTATCCTCATTGCATTCTAGTAAACGCAATATATTGTCCCTTCAAAGCTCGCCCTATCCACATTGCATACGAGTAAATGCAATATATTGTCCCTTCAAAGCTCTCCCTATCCACATTGCATACTAGTAAATGCAATATATTGTCCCTACAAAGCTCTCCCTATCCACAATGCATACTAGTAAAAGCAATATATTGTCCCTACAAAGCTCTCTGTATCCAAAATGCATACTAGTAAATGCAATATATTGTCCCTTAAATCTCTTCCTATCCGCATTGCATACTAGTAAATGCAATATATTGTCCCTTCAAAGCTCTCCCTATCCTCATTGCATACGAGTAAATGCAATATATTGTCCCTTCAAAGCTCTCCCTCTCGACATTGCATACTAGTAAATGCAATATATTGTCCCTACAAAGCTCTCCCTATCCACAATGCATACTAGTAAAAGCAATATATTGTCCCTACAAAGCTCTCCCTATCCAAAATGCATACTAGTAAATGCAATATATTGTCCCTTAAAGCTCTCCCTATCCGCATTGCATACTAGTAAATGCAATATATTGTCCCTTAAAGCTCTCCCTATCCTCATTGCATACTAGTAAATGCAATATATTGTCCCTTAAAGCTCTCCCTATCCGCATTGCATACTAGTAAATGCAATATATTGTCCCTTAAAGCTCTCCCTATCCACATTGCATACTAGTAAATGCAATATATTGTCCCTACAAAGCTCTCCCTATCCAAATTGCATACTAGTAAAAGCAATTTATTGTCCCTACAAAGCTCTCCCTATCCAAAATGCATACTAGTAAATGCAATATATTGTCCCTTAAAGCTCTCCCTATCCGCATTGCATACTAGTAAATGCAATATATTGTCCCTTAAAGCTCTCCCTATCCTCATTGCATACTAGTAAATGCAATATATTGTCCCTTAAAGCTCTCCCTATCCGCATTGCATACTAGTAAATGCAATATATTGTCCCTTAAAGCTCTCCCTATCCGCATTGCATACTAGTAAATGCAATATATTGTCCCTACAAAGCTCTCCCTATCCACATTGCATACCAGTAAAAGCAATATATTGTCCCTACAAAGCTCTCTGTATCCAAAATGCATACTAGTAAATGCAATATATTGTCCCTTAAATCTCTCCCTATCCGCATTGCATACTAGTAAATGCAATATATTGTCCCTTAAAGCTCTCCCTATCCTCATTGCATACTAGTAAATGCAATATATTGTCCCTTAAAGCTCTCCCTATCCGCATTGCATTCAATAAATGCAATATATTGTCCCTTAAAGCTCTCCCTATCCTCATTGCATACTAGTAAATGCAATATATTGTCCCTTAAAGCTCTCCCTATCCGCATTGCATTCAATAAATGCAATATATTGTCCCTTAAAGCTCTCCCTATCCTCATTGCATACTAGTAAATGCAATATATTGTCCCTTAAAGCTCTCCCTATTCACATTGCATACTAGTAAATACAATATATTGTTCGTTCAAACCGCTCCCTATCCACATTGCATACTAGCAAATGCAATATATTGTCCCTTCATAGCTCTCTGTATCCTCATTGCATACTAGTAAATGCAAAATATTGTCCCTTCATAGCGCTCCCTATCCTCATTGAATACCAGTAAATGCAAAATATTGTCCCTACAAAGCTCTCTGTATCCACATTGCATACTAGTAAACGCAATAAATTGTTCGTTCAAAGCTCTCCCTTTCCACATTGCATACTAGTAAATGCAATATATTGTCCCTTCATAGCGCTCCCTATCCTCATTGCATACTAGTTAATGCAATATATTGTCCCTTAAAGCTCTCCCTATTCGCATTGCATACTAGTAAATGCAATATATTGTCCCTTAAAGCTCTCACTATCAACACTGCGTACCAGTAAATGCAATCCCCAACCCCATATACTCCTCCCCACCGACATGCCCCACCCATTTTGTCGTGGAAGTGACTCATTCTCACATTTCCATAAGTCGTTAGGTTCTCTGTTTCTTCTGTATGTAACGAATAATACTGTTCAAAATAGTATAAGCTATTTGAATAGAGAAGCATAGTTCAAACGAATAATACAAAATGATATTCCGGCGCAAAGAAGGTGCCCAGTACACCATTCTTGTTATAAACTTCGACAAATAAGGACCAGGCGTTTACAATGTGTGACATTGCTGATTGGGTGTGGTCGTCCCCAACGGCGTGTGTGTCATCATGCTATCAACCTCTGGTTTGCCTGGCCCAGGCTCGAATGTTTATAAATTGCTTTTATATAGCTGGAATATTTCTGATTGCGGTATTAAAATCACAATTCAGCTACTCACTGAATGCGATAGTCGTGGAATTCCTTGTGAGAGGAAGACTAGCTCCGACACATCTTCACATTCTGTCAGAAATAAAGTGGGGAAATGGTCTCGCTATGTACGCCATGATGAATAATAGTACTGGAACGACCCAAGCAACAGGGCTACCTGGCTACACCATTTCATTCCCGGAAATTCTGTTTAATTTTGTATGAATTGAAACGTCTTGGTGTGATTCCAAAGGTGGTTGGTATATCGAGGTTCAAGTGTGTTTCCAAAAGTGGTTGTTATAGCGAGGTTCAAGTGTGTTTCCAAAAACACCTCCAAAAGAGGTTGGCGTATAAAGGTTTAAGTGTATTTCCAAAGGAGGTTGGTATATAGAGGTTCGGGTGTGTTTCCAAAGATGGTTGGCATATAAAGGTTGAAGTGTGTTTCCAAAGGTTTGTATATAGAGTCTCATGTGTGTTTCCAAAGATGGTTGGTATATGGAGGTTCATGTGTGTTACCAAAGGTAGGCCGTTTAGAGGTTTATGTGTGTTTCCAAAGGTGGTTGGTATATGAAGGTTCATGTGTGTTTCCAAAGGTGGTTGGTATATAGAAGTTCATGTGTGTTTTCAAAGGTGATTGGTATATAGAAGCTCATGTGTGTTTCCAAAGGTGGTTGGTATATAGTGGTTCATGTCTGTTTCAAAAGGTGGTTGGAATATAGAGGTCAATGTGTGTTTCAAAAGGTGGTTGGTATATAGAGGTCAATGTGTGTTTCAAAAGGTGGGTACGTATAAAGAGGTCTATGTGTGTTTCCAAAGGAGGTTGGTATGTGGAGGTTCAAGTGTGATGTAGCAGATTAATAATTCATTATTTGTAGTCATTTTCTGAGGTGCATTTTATTTCCCTCAATACAGACTATACATAAATATACATACAAGTACAGAATTACAATATGTTACCATTGCTACAGACAACATGTCGATATCGTTAATAACATTGTTAATGACACTGACAGTGACGCGTTTTGGCAAGAAGACGAAGCAAGGGAGGTGCCATCTATAATACAATACATACCGGTGTGTATTTCCTTTTATTGGGTTGTTAGAATTGTTAGATAGAACGACGTTCTTTGGCCGTTGCCAGGATACAGAATTGTTATTTCACGAACGTGCATGTACATTTCATTGTGAAATTGTCAAAGCGTCGTTTCTTGTCGGTTTTCGAGCTGTAAGGACACATACTGCAACAAATGATGTAGATTTCACGACATGCATGTACATTTCATTGTGAAATCGACATAACCGCCTTTCATATAGTGTCTGGTCTGTTGGGACACAGCATATCACGAGGGGGCGTGTACATTTCATTTTGAAATATACATCTGAATAGCAATGAATATGATCCGACTCTGAGATTCTATTGTCTATGTCTACAGTTTATGACACAATCCTCACATGAAAAGTAAGCACACATTTCAGCTTAAAATGACTAGAAATATACCGAGATCGCGGAATGATGAATAGAAGACCCCCATCAGTTTAAACCGCTCGTTTGAACTGACGAAGATTTCGAGCCATTGTTCTTTTGAAGACCTGTTAACATTTTTTCAATTCGCCTTATTTCACATCCTTGCCCGGAACTCTCGGCAGGGGACATTCGGCGAACCGGAAGTTCTGTTTGTCGTCTGCTGTGGTTTAAAAGATCACGTGACCTAGGTCGATGCTGCTCATGCGCAGGTGAGTCAGACAGTTCTCTTGGGGACACACACTGTCGAGAAGGAGATGTTCTTGATGAAGGTATTACATAAGGAGTGAAACGTGTCCCCCCTGACCTTGAAAATAAAAATTGTCCGAAATTTGGAGGACAGCCTGTAAGTCCGTCCCGCTGCATGGCTAACGCACCGTATCCATGTTGGAAGAAGTGAGGATTCAACAAGGCAAGTTGACTGCTGAAGAGGCTGGTAGCTGGGTTCATAGCTGAGTGAAGTTGCGCTGTTGCCAAGTGACCAAGGTCCATTTGACCATTGGCGGTTAAATACTGCATTGGTAGGTGACCACTACTCATTAATGAGGTAGAACTGGGGCTAGATGAGAGCATTGCACTAACAGGAAAGGACAGTGTTGGAGCTGAGGTTGGGGACGTGCCTTCCTTCGACCCCGAGGACGTTGAGTGGGGGGAGACACTTTGACAAGATGTCGAATCGCTGTCGAACTTTCGATCGCGATCGTTACAACTGCGGCTGAGATCGTCACACTTCCGGCTAAGATTGTCCAAATTCCTGTCGTGATCGTCCGACTTCCGGCCATGGTCATGTTTCCGGATATGCTCAACATACTTCTGATTATGCGCAGACGAGCTGCTTTCACTTGTGTCTTTTTCAATTTCGGACTTACACAGCTTATCACATTCAAACACATCCCTCTTAGTCTCCCTGCTGCACACTGAACCGCTGATGTTTGCGAATCTGTTCCCGAGGTCGTCACTGCTGGAGTGAAGGTCAAGGTCATCATCACTCGGGGCATCCTCCTCTTGATCGATCTCCTTATCAAGCGTTTCCCTCATCTTTGTCGATAAATCTGAAGAAAAACATAATAAACTGATAGAAAAATATTTCATGTATCTAATATATCTAAATACGTTATTTATATATATGAGACTACCAGCTGGGGGAGGTGTTAGTGTTTCACGTCATACTCTTTTTGTTCTGAGCTTTATCAGGCGGTCTCTGCAACCAAAGAAAATGAAAATGTCCAATATATGTGCTTTTATTTAATATATATTATTTGAAGCAATTGTTTATTTTTTTAATTTAAATTATGAATTCCAAAATCACTTGCGGACAAGCCCGTTATATCCCAGTAAATACGCAAAGATTATGGTTTTTTTTATATTCCTATTACTTATGTAAGTGTACATCAGAGGGGAAGGGAAGGAATCTCATGGCCAGATTAGATGTACACCAGGGCCTCTCAACAAGTACAATGTGCTATGTCAATATTGCAGGGGAGCTGTTTGAGGCTGAAACCTGATTTCATTTTAGAGGGTATTTTTAAATACTTATTGAAATATAGGGCGAAATTCCTTTCAGGGCTGTTTATAAGTAGATGTGTAAATAACAACAAATGCGTAACGAGCAAACGCTTTAACCACGAGGCTACCCCACCGCCCGTAGACGTCGATAGGGTACTAGGTTGTATATAGGGTACCTGTCGGTTTGCTAGAGTGATCCTCTTCTCCATCTCTTTCTTCGTCATCTGCCTCGACGACACATATCTCTTCATCCCTGTCCCCCTCCATGTCGTGAGGTCCCCCTTCAAGTGGCAGACTCGTACTGTCGGGCGCCCTCTGTGTCGTACTGGTGGCACTGGATTCAATCATTAGCCGTCTAGGAATTAAAACAATTTATAAAGTTTCAAATTTTTTAAATAAAAATGTCCAATTATTTATCAGTGCAAGAAAACATTAACCTTTTTTGCTCAGTGAAAGCTAAAACGATTTGTTAATGGATATATCTGTATTTGGGCAGAAATCGATCATATGACATACCGTTTTTAGTGTTTTACTTTTACAGGGCAACGAAAAAGGTGTACCAAGTCGGTCGTGAGACTTATATTCGTATGGCTATGTAATAAACAATGATGCTTGTTTTGTTTTTTCCCCCTGATAAGATTCAATTTTATTTCGCACTGCTTATCAGCATCAAATCCTTGTTCGTGAGTGTTACCAATTTGTAAGCGTCTAGGACCTGCGTCAGTTTGTATTTTCCTCTATAAAAAGCTAACAAGCTGTGATGTAACTGAACTATTGTTCAATCGCGGCGTAAAACCAAACTCAGTCTTATACTTTCAGTGGGAACTGATTGGATGCTGTAAACGTGGGCAGGGCATGTGCTTCAAATGTTTGATAAGAAATCAAACTATGCTTTACGTGGTAAAGACATCAGGAAGTACGGTCAACCCTTTTATTCCGAACCTCGTTAATCCGGAAACGCAGATTACCGGACGATCACCGATAGGATCGTCTATTTATTGCCATAGGATGTTGTGCAGTTACAATGATTCCTTAATCCAGAAGGTCGATAATCCACACAATGGAAACCACACCGTTTGGATTAACGGGCCTTCGCGATATGTACGGCTAATTGTGTTGGATTCTAGATCGTCTGTATCTACCATTTTAAGCTTAGACCCTCTCAATACAAGGCACAAGCACAACAAAACAGACAGGCAAAAAACCTACACGCCCAAGTTCGATGGTAGCTAAACATGAAACGATAGCTATTCGATTGTAATGTATTTGACGCAGGTGTTTTGGACCCCACGTTTGCAAGGTGTCGGCGACTGTTTACAGCGAAGTAACGTTTTGATAATGTTTGTAATTTTTTATCAATTCCTATTTTCAACTGTAGGGTTTTTTCACAGAAGTTTACATTTATATAGTATCCCAAAAAGCGTTTACGGTTTTCACAATAATATAGGTCACTGCGTTAAAACAAATTTGAACGAAACATAACGGCCCTTGAGATGTTATGAAACGCCGTGCAAAAAAAGTCGACATTGACAATGGCCAATTAACGACACAGTAGTCACCGCCTTGGCCTTTAGCCATGGCATCCGCATTTACTACAGACATCCAATCAATGAATGCCTTAACAATCGAGGGAAGACATTAATTCTGTCCCGACGAACCCTTAATACCGAAGCTGTGTTGGGGATGGTTATCCTGGCTGAAATCACATACTCCTAGGCATTTGTAGAGAAATTCAAGAACACTGTTTTGTTCACTGACTCGAAAAGACAAAACTTTTTAAATTCCCGCGACCTTTGGTGCAACTACATCAGACAGGGTAGGAATTAAGTGTCTGTTTGACAGGAGAACAATGAGAACTTGCAGTTTGTATAACCTAATGGTATATTTCAAAAGTGTACTTTGTGGTATAAATACCCATGAAATATTCAAAAGAGATTATTTCAGAGTATAATTACTTTTTCTCTCGTTTCCCTCCACCTGTGTCACGAAATCCTTTAGCGAAGGGGTTGTGGTCGATCTTAAGTTGAGTAATCTACAAAGGAGAAGTGCAACCATTTAATACACTTTGCTGCATTGAACGAAATTGTTGAAACTTTGGGGGGGGGGTGGGGGGGGGGGGGGGGGTAATAAAGCTTTATATTCGTGGGAGCTACCATGAAATTATGAAGTAACTGAAGCGTTACACTGTAGTAAGTTAACTATAGAGTTGGCAGATGTACATTTCTAGATATAACATTCAAACAAATTATTTGTTGTAATTTTAAACTGGCAGCTTTGTACTTCATGGCATATTCACAAGAATAAAACAACGCAAGTGTGCTCTCGCGCGAAACCCTTGAAATTGTTTTGATGAAATTAACGAATGTTTTATTAATTCAAATATAAATACAAATACTAAATACAAACATAAATACAAAACAATTACAAATATAACGCATTTATAAACGAAGAAAGAAGGTAGAAACAAAACATTTATTAAATTCAATAATAACAATATTTTGCTGGTTGCTCGCATATGATAAAGGTTATTACGTTTTTATTATTTTTATCTTTCTTCAATATTTGAGGTTTGTTTACCTTTTCGTTTTGATAAGCTGTGACAGCTATAAACTCCGTTTCTTTAAAGACATAAGTCCGAAACGCACTGTATGGTAGTTTCAGAATGTCATCCGTACGCACCAGATGAAAACGAGGCTGATACTTGTGCATCGAGTTTAGAATGGTCTGAAAAAATAAGGAAAATAATTATAAACATGTTTTTTTTTTCAAAAACAACATACAGAAAACTTACTGTCATTTCAAGCGTCGAATATATTTTAATTTGAACTTTCTTGAAAGCGATATTGCTTTATTTTCTCTAAGGACATCAGCAATATAAACACAAATACATGTCTAATTTTGAATGCGAAAAGAATCCTTGCATGCTTAATATCTTTGAATTAATTCTGATAAAATATCTTATTTCTTATGAACAAATGATAGTATTGGAGTAAGTGCCGAAACACATTGCTCATATTTAAATTGAAGTTTGACAATACATATTTCATAATTTCATTCACATATTGTCGATTAGTTACAGACACGAAAACAATTCGTCAGAACTGAGGTCAGCATTAAATCTACTATATGCCGAACTTGCACAGATTTTGCAATAAGCATAAAAATAAGAATAGCATCGACAAGGAGTAAAAATGGATTTAGCGTATGTAATAAATTGTTTTGTAAGAAACTAGTTCTATATTAATGGGAGACTAGCTATTGATATTGTTGGTAATATTATTATTTATAATTACAAAGAAAGCACGCATTTTTCTTTATTGCCTTTGCAAAAATAATTCTACAATTTCTAGCTTCTTCTAAAGATAATCATCTGAAAATCTATAGCTGATACTGTAAAAGTTCATTTGGATACTCTTCTGCGTGGGTATCGAACGAATTCCATTGTATTAATATAAGCAAAACCAACAGCTGTGGATTTAATTGGCATTGCAAAACTAACAAACTGATACATATCTAAAACAGGCTGATTTCAATTTGATTTCCAATATGATTATAACATTAAATTTAATATTTGCATGTAGATAAAGGGACAAGTTTTTAATCATCAAGAACAGTATGTGGCGCATTAATAACTTTGTACAAAGTAATAGAGATTATATAAATTTCATAGTTTTTTGTCTGCCATACAATTGATCGCCTTTGTTGGTAAAGGACATTAGCTTTAGTTGAACTGTTTACAATCATATTGACGTAAAATTCAAAAGTGTTACTTTTCTATCAACTAATATATACATAAATACGAAAAAACAGCGTGTTCAAAATTACACGTTACAAATCAATTAGAATTGATATGTTCACCTCTAGTAAGATCCCAATGATTGAACACCACACCTGCACACGGACCATATAGATGAAACAAATTTTAGTAATAGATTGCGTTGCATAACATAGATGCAAGCGACAGACATCCGCGAGATCTTTGGGCCATCAATTTTGTATCACAATGCGCTATCAATCTTAAGGCTAATGACATCCGCGCCTCCTTCACATCTTAATCGGTTGTCATTTCGTTGATCTGTCCATGTAAATGTCGATGGTATGTACATTTCAGGAGCGGTCAGCTGTTTCTTGTTTATACAAAGGTGGAAGCTGGGATTAATATAGATATACATATTCACATGTCGCTATTTGTAAAGAGAGAGGCTATGAACATAAACGACTTTGATATTGTATACCTTATTCATATTTTCATGAGAATGACATACATGAACATTTAGACAAATGCATTATCACAAATGCAGCTATTCTTTTTAATGTTTGAAGTTCACTTATTTAATGTACCTTATTCGTTTCAATATCAAAAGTGTTGGCGATGGCGATGTTGGTTTGCAAATGTGAAAGGCTCAGTAGTGTAAATTGTAAAAAACATAATATTTTACGGTAATTTATGATAAATTTCGAGTTTTAATACTTAATATGTTTTGATAGTACCACTGACCTCTTGAGAATTTTAGTAACCATGAGGATTCGGATTTAATTGTTCCGATAACCATTTCCATAAAACGATTGAACATCCTTCTAAATTTGAAAATATGTTCACGCACACAATATATTTTTTTTATTCTACCCACGTTCACTTTTCAGACCAAAATATTTAATCGGTGTTCGCTATTTCGCGTAGCCTCTCAGTGTTTATACTAGTGAACAAAATCAGTTAACACGAACAAGCAGTCAGTGATAGAACTTTACTAAAGGTAACACATCTTTCAAACAGGCAACCTCCACATAGTCAACACAATAAATATATTCATCGCCATCAATATACAAATAGTGACATCAGCGTTGACATATCGGCTTTGTCAATTTCATCAGCTGTTAAATCCGATTGGACTCTCACAAAGGGATATTTCACGCAAAGGTGGTAAATTTCTTGAAACGGGACAAGGGACCCCTCACACGACTGGAGAAGTAAATGCGTTCCTTCAGATGAACCAACAGGTAGATATGTGAACGTATGTCGACACGAAAAACGCATCAATTTCGCGGACAGCGACAAGTTGAGGAATAACGCTGGCCTGTTAATAAGAGGAGAATGCATGCGACATTATGTGACTAACGGACAAGGCTATTAATCCAAACCTTTTACGCAAAGAATGTTTAGAATAAATACACGAAACGTGTTAATGTCATTGAAGACATCGCGCGGATTCATAAGAAAATGATATATCTTTAATGATGTTCACATACTTTATCGCAGGTGGGATTTCTTGTTTACACAGATATATACTTGGTGCATGAGGTGAGGTGAAAGAGAGATACCATACCGCAGTTTAACATGAATACCCCACTCAGACACAGTATACTGACTCCGAGCCGACCAGTACTTCGTTTAGCCCCTTAATGCTGAGCGCCAGACATGGTAACAACAAGTACCATCTTTTAACGTCTTTTGGTATGACGCAGCCGAGGATCGAACCCCCGACTTTTCGTTCTCCGGGCGGACGCTCTACCACTCGACCAGTGAGGCGGTCACTTGGTGTATGAGAAAGAGGGGTGGATTAAAGTTTTATTAATATAGGTTTTCTGTCACCTTGCCTGGTTTCGAAACCGAATGATGAAACAGTTATACCAATGTTAATTCGGCATGTATGTGAAAATATGAATAGTTTGTATCGGTCAAAGATATCCAGCAGAATGAAACCGAATTTCAGTTTCTTTTAACACAGCTGCCTGTCCTGTGATCTATGGAAATAGCTTGGGAGGAAATTGTCAATTGTCTCTGTGATGGGTTGTTGTAATTCACACAACTAACGACCAAATATAACCTTGTATATATGTTTGATCATTTACACTTGAGACAGTTCGAAAAGTAAAAATGAGTTGATTTTGGTTTATACAAGTTTATGTATTACATCATGCGTACAATGAAACAGTTTTGGCCTTTTTCGATATTTACACACGGTCAAACGACATAATCTGTCAGCGAATAACAAAACTCGAAAAAAACACATTTTAACCGGCCGCGCGGGGGATTCAAGCTGCTCCCTAATACAATCATGAATTCTGCATAAAATATATGAGAAGAGTAATTCGAAGTAGAAAAATGAAACATGAGGTTTAAACCATAAAGTTCATGTTGATTATATTAATATATATACACTCTTATGAGTTAAGCGGCGGATAGCCTCATTGTTTACTTTTACTACAAAAACATTGTAAATTTATACAATAAATAAAATAATTATCCAAAATGACATAATATGAATCCCATCAGAATGCATCTATACTCAAGGCAAAAAATATGTGATTGGGATGGGATTTTTGTAGAAAAGAAAAACTAAAAAAACCAAAACTCTCTTTCCTTGACTTGAAGTTTAAAGTGAACGAGTGTTTGATAATGTTGGAGGTGACCCCCATATTTCTTTATAAAGTCAGTTCAAATACTGTTTTGAAACTTGCTCTGGTGATATGTGGGGTTGTTGTCGCTTCCTCCTTGAGATATACAACAGGAGGGGGCACGCTGACGTGGTACTTCGTTTGGTACAGCAACACGACAGCGACTCTGGTCCCCTGGTTGTGCCATGTAGGCTGTGGCGCTTGTCAAATTATTAAACACATGGACACAATCACAATGGTTGAACATCTCTCCCGTTCATGAACTCAACAACCCTATATATTTTGATGTGAATTATATCTGTACATAGTTGCTGCAGCTGGGTGAACCAGGACTTGGGTTAGGTCTTGTCTTCGTATGAACATTTACTTAATTTGCATCGTCGTATTGATTGACACAGTGCAATAGAGTGCAATGCGCATCGCTCTCACACAAATATTCCTGATGTAGCTCAATGGAGCTGACAGGATTCAAACAATAGAAACTTGCTATTTTGAATTAAAACGATATTAAAAATGACCACCCGAATGCGAGTGAGACATTTTCCGGAGAATCCTACAAACTGGGCTTTACAATAAAGATAATGCGGTAGTATTACTGAATGATATTGGAGGCTGAAACGTCGGAAACATAACGAAATCATTAAACGAGTCTGTGCCATTATCTGATTGGTCGAAAAACGTCTCGATTCAATTTCGATTCCATTCCCGGAAGTCTTGTGGAGCCGCGAATGCTGTCAATGTTCCAAGTTTGAAAAACATGGCATTCAACACCGCGATATAAATACCGCATCCATTATATATTGCGTTTAATTAATATTTATACGATAAATATTTTATATGAATTTATACTGTGACGTCATCCATTGTATCATAACGTCATAGCGTTCAAGAATGACGTCGTGTATGTCTCACAGACTTTTGAGTACAATTTTGATTTTCAATGTCCAGAAAAAATATGTTTTGTAGGTAATATAAAGCATTCGGGACCGTGCAGAAATTTCAACATTTGAAATTTCAAGCCATCAAATACTCAATAACACCCGCAAATATGAAAACCCGTGATGTTTATCTTCTAATTCCAATCTGGCGGCGGTCTATACCACACAGAAGTTGTTGAACCAATCTTACCAATCCCAATAACAGCTTATAGTGATTCGGGCTTGTCATAGGTCGTTGGTGATTGGCCTCATCATTAATATGGTGGTGATGTACCTTCATGACACCATCCGTTGACCACCCGCACATATTAATACCACCGAGACGAAATACGAACCAAAAAGTATTTACTAAGATGTTACTGTTACTCAGCACGTCGTGTGGTCATTAAG